CAACTGAGAAAGAGAAGCTTGTATGTGGCAAATCTGTTAAATATAATTTTGACAGTAACCAAGTTGATTTTTGATGTAGCAACAACTTCTGCAGTGTTCTTTTAAAAAATATTTCTCCAAAACATTTACCACTGTTATTGCAAGGGAATATCTGAGAACTGGGCCACACGAAGCACATTTGCACTTGAAGAGTCCTATTTGTGACAATCACTTCATTTTACATAGCATTGGAGATGTATGACAATTCTCAAGTAAAACCCAGAAAAACTTCCACAGACCTCTATTGCAGTGTTGCCTGCAGAAGATTCTAGCACAGAGAATGTTCCCTGGGACAGTATAGGTGTGGCACATGGGGAATTGAACGTGAATTACAATCATTTTACTTCTCTCCTTTTTTTTTCTGGTGGCTGGCTTGTATAGGATCTGAATTATTGACCCCAGTGTTATTAACACCACACTCTACTGAGTGAGCTAACCAGGCAGCACACTTGTTTATTTGTTTGTTTTATTTTGTTTTTGTTGTACAGGTATCACTTTGTACTTCCCTTATCCTGTTTTTTAAATCAGTCTATCAGCTGTATAAGGGCCGTGATTATATTTTTTTATTGTTTTATTTTGCTCAGTTCTGTGTTTCTAGCACTTGCTGTAGGCATGGTTCATTGTATTTTATCATCAATTATTTATGGTACAAATAAACAAACAAATAAATAAACAAACCTTTTTTTATAGGATGATTTCCAGTTATCCATTTATTTACTTCTCATGTAGTCATTGAGCAGCTTCTACTTACAGGCCCTATACCAGGCACTGGGGACAAAACTGTGAATTTGAACTTTTATGTCCAGTCCTATCTTGGAAAAGAAAGACAGTTGTATCAGGAGATATTTTTAATTTACAAGGTACACTTGGCATTTTCTCTACTGCCCCAATTGCATCCTTTTGGATAGTTTAATTCTTACTGATTGTGACCAGGGAAAGAATATTCTCCTGTTTTCAGCTTTTAGTTGCATGAA